AGTCATATTAGGACTTGTGGCTGTTTCATTATATCCATCCTTTCCCTCTAAAACACATGTGGGCCCAGTTCTGTCTGGAGCTCTGTCCTCCAGCCAAAACTCTAGCTGTACTAAGCTTCTCTTAAGTCGTTACGCCTTTTCCAACTGCTGCCACTTTCCATGCCAAGAGCAGCCACATTTCAGCAATAAGTGAAACGTTTTCTATGCAAAGGTTGTGGGTGCTGTCTTTCTTTTTATTCTAAATAAAATACTGAGGCCTGAAAGGCTCCTTATAAGTTTAGCATTCTCTGGCTGCATTCCTTACCTCGTGGAAGTCACTGGCCCCAGGATTTTGCACATAGAAGTTGATTATTCCACCAGTCTATTGTTGGATTCAAGTGTGCACCTGAAAAGAAAACTGAATATTAATAAATGTTGAGTGCATACAGCATGTGACTTGTTTTAGAGAGCTCTCTAGACATTACCTTTCATCTCGCCTCCCTCTAGTCTCGTATGGTGCCCAAACTTCCCTTATAACCTTTCCCTGGCTGTTCCATGCCTTCGTTCATGTGGCCCCTTTTTCTTAGTGCTGTCTATCACTTGGCTTCCTGTCTGATTTACCCACAATCTAGCGAAGCAAAGACTGCCATGCCCTGTACATCTCCTGAAAAGAAGCCAAAGACCTTCCCCATTCCTACTGTCTTTTTCTTCTGGGATGAGGTCCGCTGACTTCACTGGGAACTATGGTAACTCAGCATGGCTCAGGATATGGCCTCTACCGTATTTACTCAAATACAAGATGATTCCCTGCCCCCCCTCCCCAATCAGCATTGCGGGGAAAAACCCCACATCTTACATTCACATACAAGAAAACCTCATTAAATACATTGTCTCTCATTAAGCTGCTGCCAAAAGCAACTTCCAAGTCATGGTGAGCCACTACATTGAATACATTTCAAGTTCTTCTTCACTCCCCCAGCTGAGCTGCATCTTTTTTTCCCATTTCCAATTATTCTTGCTTTTTCAGCAGCCTTAAATATCTGGCAAACATCACCAAGTGGGACCCCAACCGCTTACCCAGAATCCCTGTCACCACCTCAGGGGTTAGTGTGGCCTCACCCTTCACGATATGGAGCTGGCCAGGTTGCCCTGCACCTCATCTGAATATAAATTTTTGGAGGACCCCAGGACTCATGAAAAGCACACCTGGTTCCAGTCATGAGTGAGGGGCTAATTAGCACCTGGCTCTTTTGTGGGGGTATCTGGAGTGTGCACACATACTGAGCAGTGCTGAGCTGTGGGATCGCCATGGCGAAATGCTGTTAACTGGTGGGGCCCAGCCCAATGAGCTATATGGTAAATTGTGCGCTTTTTGGCTTTGGTCTAATATCGTGCATAGTTTGTACTATATATAGGTAGGTACAAGAGTGTGATTATGGAGTACCTGTGTTAAAACTTGCAGCAGTTTATAAAAGGTGAACTGCATCAATTCTGGATGGACTAAGTCTATGGGTACTAAATGCAAATTACAGATCTGTTTAGTGCTACGTCAGTGTTTTCAGATTTTCTTCTCGCTCCCAAGTGCTCAGGGAGGGCAGGGTGTGATGGTAAGGAGAGGAGAAGGAGCTGGAGAGAGGCATAGGGCAAATTTACCCCCAAGCTTTATATTCTGTGCTATAGCAATGGAAGGGACTGGACAAATTCAAGGCAAACATCCAATAATTTGATTCTATACCTGGAAAATTATAATAAATTTACAACTTTTCCTTGTATAGAATCTTATTATTGTGGGGGGTCATCTTATGTTCAGGGCCATCTTACAATTCAAATAATTGCAGTATATTCTCCAAGGTCTTTCCATCTCCTAACTTGTCGCAACTAGAACATTCATGCTCCGATTTCTAGCTGTCCCTGTTGGATTATTTGCTTGTTAGAGAACAAATGATCTCTCTTTCTGTGGGTTGTTTTTTTTTTTTAGCATATCACAAGTGTTATAAGCAACCATGTACACCTGGAGCACTGCGTAATTATTTCTCAGACCCCCGTTTAAGAGAGGGAGGAAAAGTAGTGCTGCATCTTTGCTTTCGAGAGGTTTAAGAGAAGGCATGTTTAGAGTTGTAGGGTGGTTACACGTTTCTTCAACAGGTACAACATGGGAGTGGAGGGGGAACATTGCTGGCATTTAACAGCCTTTCCAGATGATTTACGATTTTACAAAAGCTCTACCTGAACTGAAGGGCTTTTTTCTTTTTTTTTTGGGTTGGCACCTCCTTGCCTGTCTCCATGCCCTGCTGGTTCTGTGTTCAGTGGCCCATGGTTATTAAAATTCTTATCAATACAAGAGTTTCTGAGTAGTGTTCTTGTTTTCTGGGCTCACAAATGCCTTCTCAACTGCTCGGGTTAGCCAGAGAACAGGCTCTGATGCCTAATGCATTTTGTAAGACTCAATGCATGGAGCTCAATTAATATTTGCATTCAGTTACAGTAATTAAGTTGTCAGAATCGGAGCTCACCAAGGGAATGAAGCAGCCCTTTTCTGGTTGGCCTGAGCGTGATTTGTGTTAGACCCGAGTGCATTTTGCATATCAGGTGGGGCCTGTTTTGGCGAGCGCCCATTGCGGAGAAACCTGGGAGACCATTTGTCATTGTGTAACACGAGGTGTCAGATTTACAGGAAGGAGGAAGACGACGACCCCATTTAAATTTGCCATAGCAGGGCAGCTATTTTTGCCGCTTGCCGGGACTCAGGTTGGAAGGGAGACCTTGTTAAAAAGACAGATATTTTGAAGCTGAGCTCAGACCATTTATTCTGTGGATTCTGCCTTGTCAAGCTTCTGCTGCTGCTGCTTCCCCTTATCAAACCCAGAAAATTTTTTCAGTTTTAAGTAATACTAAACAGAAGTCACCCCGTTGCATTAACTCTGCTTAAACTCTCCTTCTAAACAAGGCATTCTTAGAAGAAAAATACCGTGTTTTTTTTTTAAGTGCCCCCACAAACATTACTGGAATCTCAAGTGTAACATTACTTTCGTTCCACTGGAATAATTCTCTTGAGAGCAGGTGTATGAGGAAATCTTGATTCATCGCTAATGAGACAGCCCTGCATATTCTTGCTCCTGTGAGTTAAGATTACTGTTCTGAGTGAGGCCCCTTGCTCATAAATGTAATAAAACCCATGTCATCTAGCCAGTTTGGTGATGCCGTAAGCAGGACCCAGATTGCTTTATTTACGCCAGATAAGACCTGGGGAACTTTATTTCCATTTTGCATTTTCCCTCTCTCCTAGGCATATTGGAAGTGGAGGGAACAACTTGGGTCATCAAGTTGTATTCCTGCAATTTTAGGCAATCCTAAAATAGAGATTAAGCCCAAAAGGTGCATGAGAACATGAACTCTGGCCACTTCTGCACACCCCAGGCCATCGGGAGGCCCCAACCACCTAACACAAATTGTGGATTTCTAGCACAAAAATGAAGTCCTCACAAGTTACCTTGTGCCACAAGAAGAGAGCAGGAAAGAAACCTATACCTTGACCTCTAGCAAAGGTAGGGAATTGGTTAGGTGAGAGAGGCTACAGAGCTATAAAACGGCTGCACTCTGAGTTGGTGGCATTTTACAGCCACGCTATGCTGTATCTATATACCTACAAGAGGTAGGAGTAATGTGAACTGAGCCCTCCAATACTTCACTTACACAAGCATTTCTGAAATGGGAATACCTTCCCACCACCACACGTACCTGCACTGTAACTGTTGGTGGTTGACTCCTGATTGTACGTTCTTGGCTGTAAGTGAGATAGTGGTACAGATTATGCAGAATATTTTCCTCCTTCCACCTCCAAACATGCTGCATCTCTCTGCCCACCGGGATGGAGTTTGGAGACCTTTCTGACTCACAAAATTCACACTTTGCAAAGAGCTGTCTAAAATTTGGAGTCGTTTTAGGGAGTCTCTGATCTTGGTACCTAAGCAATGGTGTCTAAAATGCCCCCCAAAGTGTAAAGGTAAGTTACTTTTGAGAGCTAGATACCCACATGAGCACTGCTCATAAGGTTTTTTCTTTGTTTACAAGTCATAGACAATTAACAAACTTTGTATTTTCACCCTAATTTGTTTGTCACTTTATCAGACCATTATTGCTTTTCTCAGTGCCATATATGCATTACTTTTGATCAGTGGCTATAGTTTGCTTCTTATTTTGGGTTTACTGTCTAGATAACAAGAACCGTTTCTGCAACCCTCTGCATGCAGAACACCTGTTGAATTCAGTGCTGGTTTCGGTGTGAAATCCTTACAAGATTTGGTCTTGTATGGTGTCTGTGTTATCCGATAACACGAGTCATACAATGCGTATTTAGATAATAACATGGAGAGTTTAATGAAATGAAACCAGCTATGAAGAACATCGCGAGAGACTGTTAGAAAGAGTCGGTGATGAATCTAGAATCAAGAGAGAGGAGAGAAGTGAGATGAGCTCTTGTCCCCTCAGTGCTGGATTGGTCCCTGCCACGTGCGTTTGAATTTTGAGATTTCCACCACTTCCCTTCTGCCACAGGCTGATGGATCACACAATTGATTTTTTTTTTTCTCACTGCTTTGTATTTGACGGAGATGTTCGTTTCTGGGCTAAGTGTATGTAATATACTGCTGTTCTAATTTGGAAGCATTTTACACGCCCATTTTATTTAAATCGCACAAGTGGAGGTGACTAACAGCAGAGGTGCAATGTGATAGAGAATCTTAATCTATGAAGTGTAAATTTTCCTCCTTTGATGTCAATACTCTGGGTTATTTTTGCATGTGTGTAATGTTCAGAGTAACTTAGTCTGTTCTCTTCCTTTCTCATTTTACTAGTGGTTGGACATTGCTCCCACTAAAATCTCTGGAGCATCTGCTATTAGCTTCTGGTCGAACACTAGATACTTTGCTTGGCTTTTATTTTCATGGATGCTAAAATTTAGGGCAAGAAGCATAACTTTGAACAACCTTTCCCCTAATCATCTTTCAATTACTTCCTAACAGGAGGACACCTCCAGTGCTGATTCACAGGAAGACAACCAAAACGAAGACCCTGGGGCACCTGAGCCAGTGGACAATACGGTGACCAGCACCCTCACAGTACAAGAATATTTTGCTCAGCGCCTAGCCAAACTGAAGAATTCCCATAATGGACCAAAGACCAAGGTAGCTGATCCTTGCACAGCTGCAGCTGAAGTCTCTGAGCTTTCAGAAGGACTGAAAACCAAACCCAAAAAGAAAAAGAGAAGCCACAAAGAGGTTGAGGTAGAAAATATAGTTGATTACGAAGAAGCAGTGGTGAAACGCTCTAAACTAGAGGGACTGAATGGAGAAAAACTGGATGCTTCAGACACTGAAAGCCAAATGAAGAAGAAGAAAAAGAAAGCTAAGAAAAGATGCCCAGACAGAGATGATAGTTGTAACGGAGAGCCTTGTGTGCTCCCAGGTGTAGGAGAGGCTTACACTGGAATATCTGACAGAGAGGATACTGGGGTAAAAGTCTCGGGGGCAAAACAGAAGAAATGGCATAAGAAAAAACAGAAAAAACAAAAAAAAGAGGCAGCCGAATCTACTGAAGACCGAGCGCAGGGGAAGAAAAAGAAGAAACGTTTGAGCTAACTTCGTGAGGACTTTAAATGCAGAACGAATTGCAGATTGATGTGTTGAATAGGAAGCCTTCTGTAAACATGCTAGCCAGACCCCAAAACGTTGTTAAATCCTCCTGTCCACATCAGTACTGAAACCACAGGCTGTTTAAATCACAGCTCTTGCTAGCAGGGTGGAAATGTAGCATCCCTGGGCAGCATGGCCCATGTCACAAAGTGCACAGTGGGGCGGGTTTGGGCCTCTCCAGCATGGTTTTGTAAAAATAGTGAGGCACTTGCCTATTCTGGCATTGCCATCCATTACACCTCCACTCTTCTACCAAGAGCTATGTATTAGCACAAATAACTTGGACTCACTGCTCCATTGAAACCACTCCCCAGGTACTAGTGTCAGATAAGAACAAGCCTGACTTGAGCTGTAATGAGGGAGGGCCTTTATGCAAGCGAATGCCTCCACGTTGCTAGCCAGTACCCCCTGCTGACTACTCTCTTCCCAGCCTGGGAAAAAATGGAAACCACTTGCATTTTTTTTTCCTTACCATCCCCATTTTCACTTATACTTGCCAAGCTTTGCCTTCTGTGAGTCTGAGCATGTGCCACATAGCTGCATGTAACCTTTTCATTGATTTCCTTTTATATCTAACATGAAGTTTGCTTCCTCTTAAAATACTTGGTCTAATTAAAGGATTATACTTGTGTGTCAGTGCTGGAGAATGGAGCAAAATAGTTCCTTTTGTTTCCTGGCCAGTAATTAACTATTGCCAAGCATGTAAAATGTTATTTAAGAAAGACTTGCTTCTAGTTTTGCATTAGCCCTATCCACATAGCTTTCCTTGGACTCCCAGGTCATACATCTGATGTCTTACATAGACTCGCTCCACATTCACATTGTCGCATTCGCTAGAGCTTTGTATGTGGAGCACTTGTTACTGGAGGGGTAACATAGGAGAGCCCATTGTTTTGGGTTTTGTGGTTTTTTTAAGTGAAAATAGCTGGTCACATGCATAAGTGGAAGTATTGCCATTTGCACAATGAGAACTTGATTTAATAGGACAATTTAGCTTTTAAAATTTATAACAATTTGAAGTTGGTTTTGCATTGTAAAGCAGAGAATGGGTAATGATGAGAAACTTGACCCCCATGGAGCAGTTTTGTACTCAAGTGTTTAGGCACGTTTATGCAAACAGATAAGTATCGCTGGGGAAGAAAGGGGGGAGGTGTTCCTAATGGATATGATGAAGCAGGACAGAACCTGAATATAAAGGACTGTTCTCTCTGGGAGACTTTTACAAACCCCAGGCCTGGTCCTGGGTTCAATTTACCCCAAGGCAACTTGCTCCGCTGTCGTCAGTAGGGTTGTGCTGGCATAAATCCAGACTACCTGAGTAGAGCCTGACCTTACACCTTGCTTTGTTACAGCTGTGCATTGATTCTGGGTCACATGCTCTGTTTCACCAGCAAAAATCTGGAGTAAGTCCACTAGCCATGCCCTGACAGAAAAAGGGTATATGGTTTGGTTTTGCTTTTTTTTTTCCCTTGTGTTAGCTCAGCTGAGTTGGCTCAATATGACTGGAAAGCCCCATTAAGACTCATGGATAGCGTGCACGAACCTGCTTTAGCTGGCCAGGTTGTAACCAAGGAACATTTCAGGCTACAGCACATCCCAGTAACATGACTTGAGACATCTTCACCGGGCTTTCTGTCTGTGTGAATTGACTTGAAAAATGTGCCCTTTTGCCCATCAGGACGTATCTATTTGCTGCAGAATTACTCCGCTTTACACTGGTACGGCTGCAGAGTTGTGGCCTTCTCTGTTTCACGCTGTACTGTGTGGAGGCAATTTTTAGAAATGTTTTAAAATTAATTTCGGTAACATTTATTTTACAATCTTGTGCAAATATTGACTGTCATGATGCTGCTGTGGCTACGTGACTTCCTGGAACATATCCCGTCCCCGGTAGCATTCTACCGCAGAATCCCCCAAAAAAGCTCCTTCCTCGAAGTGCAAAAAACACTGCTTTCTCCATGAAAGGGGTCGGCAAAGCCTTCTTTCATGACTGCTCTTTTGTGGGGTGGGCCTGCTTCAAAGCAGCCTGGTAATTTATTGCTCGCAGTGAGATTATGGCTGGCTGGCTATAAATGGAAGGCAAAATCTGACCTTTGACTTTGATGTTTACCTCTTCATTTGGCTGAGTTTTACAAGGCCGGTTTGCAAGTCGAAGGAGGCACTACTAAAGGAATGGACCCCCCCCACCCCCCCACCCCCAAAAAATAAATAAATAAAACCTTTTTAACTTGTTTTGTTCTCTATTGCAGGCTTCACTGAAGGGCAAACTCCAGTGGAGACTTGTATGGCCAGAGCCGAATGTTGGAGAAAGCTAATATAAACTCCTTTAAAATCCGTGGTTTACTACAGTTAAACATAGTGCAAATGAGATTAAAAAGTGGTCTGAGATTCTCTGTACAAAAAGAAACATAAGTTTTACGTTCACCTGGAAAATGTCTGTGTTTTTTTTCATACCTGCAGTATCTGGGCTCAGAGTTGGATGGCAGGTGCAGTATTTAGGCATTACAGTGCTTTTAAAAATTTTTTTTTGGGCGGGGGGGGGGGGGGGGGGGGGTTGTTGTTGTTTTTTAAACGAAGGACCAAAATTGGAGAAAGCAATTGGATTTACCACTATTCTTTTTGTGTTACTTCAGGCAGTCAGCTTTTGAGAAATGGCTGTTCGAACAGGCACCGTGTGTTGCAAAAGAACAGCGTGCATTTTATTTTTAAGTTGGCAGCAAGTCCAAGTTTGCCCCAGACTGGTTTTACAAAAAGAAACTTAACAAATGTAGGAACAATCGTTGCCTCTGTGGTGTGGCGATTGGGGCACTGTAAATATATAGCCTATTCCTGTGAAGAAAAAGAAAATGGGAATTGTCTAAAGCTAAACATTCTCCTCCTGTATTTGCAGCCCAAAAATTGTAGCCTTAAGCTGGTTCAGCTGGAAGTGAAATTCCCCGGGAACACTGAACAAAGTGATACTCCCCAATCTGTGTTTACCTCCAAACTGAGAAGGGTGCAGATACAGCAGCAATTAGCAAAGAAGAACAGTTTAAATATGTTCCCAGCTTGAATAACCTAATGTCTTTGGACAAACACAGAAGAATTTTGTTACACCTACATACACTGGTTGATTCCAATGGCAATGCAAATTATGGTGAATTATCCAGGGGTGACCAGTTATTAGCAGTGAAGTGCTGAAAGGATAAGGGGGAACAGGCACTGGTGGGAAGTCAGGACAGCAGGGTGAATTATCTCATGAGCAGAATAACCAGAGTTTACACTATGGCACCTTGTGAAAATGGCCTTCGTATTTATTTTTCGCAGGTGCAGCTTTGCACTTTGCTGTTATGTTAGTAATTTAACTGCAGGTGCCAGCACTGCTAGCATTTTAACACTGAGCTCCAGGCTTTTCAGGTGTTGGGTGGGTAGCTACTAGTAGATGCTAACTGTTGTGCCCCCAATTCATTACGCTCCCGGTTAACTGCCAGCACAACCCTGTTTCAGCAAAGCAAAGAAGCCGTTCCCTACATTCAGACCTGAGAGTTACAGACTCTCAGGGCCAATTCTGCCCGAGTCAGACTTAACTTTGACTGGACTCTGCACTGAATCATAGAAAATGAGGGTTGAAGGGACCTTAGGAGATCACATCTAGTCCAGCCCCTGCTCAAAGCAGGATCAGCCCCAACTACGTCATCCCAGCCAAGCTTTTGTCTACTCTAGTCTTAAAAACCTCCAAGGTTGGAGAGTCCACCACCTCTCTGGGGAGCCTGTTCCAGTGCTTTACTACCAGCCTCATGGGTTTTTCCTAATATCTAACCTCAACTTCCCTTGTTGCAACTTGAGACCATTGCTCCTTGTTCTAATCCTGCACTGGCATGTATTATAAATACTAAACTCACATGTAGCTTTACTCATAAGGATCCAGTCATGCCCAAGAGACTGTAGGATAGGCCGTCCCAGGGGTAGGTGTGGGATGAGAAGTTAAGAGGCGGGGTGGTTTTCTGGCAAACGCTTTCTTTGAACTACTTCCCAAGGTTTCTTGCAATGCTTTGCAGTGGACATGGGTTAGTTCAAGGTATGTATGATAACACCTCTTCTATTTTGTCATCCAATACTGCGTATGACTCTTTCCATCTAGAAAGGTGTTCCCTTCACGTGGTTTCCAGTTACTTAAATTTCATGAAGGGCAAGACAGGCACAGGCATTTAATATAGCAGCCTACACTTGGGCTCCTCTGGCTCGTTTAGCCCCATCTACATTAATTCACATCCTCCTTTTTTAACAAAAATGCATTTTCTCTAAAAACACTTGCAGTGAAGAACACAAATTTAGTCTCTCACTGCAGAATTGGCCAATACGCTTCAGTTTAAATGCATTAGATTGAAGATCTTAAAGCACTGAGCTTCAAAAGGCACAATTACGTCAAGAAACCTCTGAACCTGCCAGTATTAAAAAAACAAAAAAAAAAAAGAGGAAGGAAGTCGCAAAAAAGGAAAATCATACAGAGTCAGTTGGGAACAAGCCTGATGCTGTTTCTTAAGATGCTGCACATTTTGTACCAGCGCGTCTTCAAATAATATGAAGAACTTAGGAGAACTTGGTATCAGAGGTTTTCCTGTTCCTCCCTGGATCTGATTCCTATACTGACACTGCATATAGCATGTACCTGTGCTAGGTACTCATTATGAATTGGCAAATCCTTTTGTTAAGTATAAGGATTAACATAATCAGGGTTGTGATTCCCTGCCCCTACCCCTTACAGTCTTAAGTAGATGAGACACGCATGCAAGCTAAACGTTAGAGCCGTGCAACTGGTTGATTTGTCTGTAATTACTTGCATGCCTCCTCCTGCCCCAAGCAACCTGCTACATCCATGGGCACCCACCTTTTCAGCAGGTGTGCCACAAATTAGCCCTTCACCCACAAGTGCCACTGATTTCCCCCTTCCTCTGCCTGATCTGCTGCTCTGCTTTCTGTTTCCTGCCCCATCTGCTGCTGTTTCCTGCCCTGTCTGCTTGTCTTCTCCCTGGTCCGCCACGTGCCCCAGGTTGGACACCCCTGCACTACACGTTTGTTAACCCACCCTCCCATTTCACAGACATCTCGCTACGGAGACTGGAGTTGAGGCTGTGTGTGTGTGTGCACACTCCCCACCCCTGGGGCCTGGCCAACTGCCTTGAGGCCTGTTAGCTTGAATAACCTAATGTCTTTGGACAAACACAGAAGAATTTTGTTACACCTACATACACTGGTTGATTCCAATGGCAATGCAAATTATGGTGAATTATCCAGGGGTGACCAGTTATTAGCAGTGAAGTGCTGAAAGGATAAGGGGGAACAGGCACTGGTGGGAAGTCAGGACAGCAGGGTGAATTATCTCATGAGCAGAATAACCAGAGTTTACACTATGGCACCTTGTGAAAATGGCCTTCGTATTTATTTTTCGCAGGTGCAGCTTTGCACTTTGCTGTTATGTTAGTAATTTAACTGCAGGTGCCAGCACTGCTAGCATTTTAACACTGAGCTCCAGGCTTTTCAGGTGTTGGGTGGGTAGCTACTAGTAGATGCTAACTGTTGTGCCCCCAATTCATTACGCTCCCGGTTAACTGCCAGCACAACCCTGTTTCAGCAAAGCAAAGAAGCCGTTCCCTACATTCAGACCTGAGAGTTACAGACTCTCAGGGCCAATTCTGCCCGAGTCAGACTTAACTTTGACTGGACTCTGCACTGAATCATAGAAAATGAGGGTTGAAGGGACCTTAGGAGATCACATCTAGTCCAGCCCCTGCTCAAAGCAGGATCAGCCCCAACTACGTCATCCCAGCCAAGCTTTTGTCTACTCTAGTCTTAAAAACCTCCAAGGTTGGAGAGTCCACCACCTCTCTGGGGAGCCTGTTCCAGTGCTTTACTACCAGCCTCATGGGTTTTTCCTAATATCTAACCTCAACTTCCCTTGTTGCAACTTGAGACCATTGCTCCTTGTTCTAATCCTGCACTGGCATGTATTATAAATACTAAACTCACATGTAGCTTTACTCATAAGGATCCAGTCATGCCCAAGAGACTGTAGGATAGGCCGTCCCAGGGGTAGGTGTGGGATGAGAAGTTAAGAGGCGGGGTGGTTTTCTGGCAAACGCTTTCTTTGAACTACTTCCCAAGGTTTCTTGCAATGCTTTGCAGTGGACATGGGTTAGTTCAAGGTATGTATGATAACACCTCTTCTATTTTGTCATCCAATACTGCGTATGACTCTTTCCATCTAGAAAGGTGTTCCCTTCACGTGGTTTCCAGTTACTTAAATTTCATGAAGGGCAAGACAGGCACAGGCATTTAATATAGCAGCCTACACTTGGGCTCCTCTGGCTCGTTTAGCCCCATCTACATTAATTCACTTTCTCCTTTTTTAACAAAAATGCATTTTCTCTAAAAACACTTGCAGTGAAGAACACAAATTTAGTCTCTCACTGCAGAATTGGCCAATACGCTTCAGTTTAAATGCATTAGATTGAAGATCTTAAAGCACTGAGCTTCAAAAGGCACAATTACGTCAAGAAACCTCTGAACCTGCCAGTATTAAAAAAACAAAAAAAAAAAAGAGGAAGGAAGTCGCAAAAAAGGAAAATCATACAGAGTCAGTTGGGAACAAGCCTGATGCTGTTTCTTAAGATGCTGCACATTTTGTACCAGCGCGTCTTCAAATAATATGAAGAACTTAGGAGAACTTGGTATCAGAGGTTTTCCTGTTCCTCCCTGGATCTGATTCCTATACTGACACTGCATATAGCATGTACCTGTGCTAGGTACTCATTATGAATTGGCAAATCCTTTTGTTAAGTATAAGGATTAACATAATCAGGGTTGTGATTCCCTGCCCCTACCCCTTACAGTCTTAAGTAGATGAGACACGCATGCAAGCTAAACGTTAGAGCCGTGCAACTGGTTGATTTGTCTGTAATTACTTGCATGCCTCCTCCTGCCCCAAGCAACCTGCTACATCCATGGGCACCCACCTTTTCAGCAGGTGTGCCACAAATTAGCCCTTCACCCACAAGTGCCACTGATTTCCCCCTTCCTCTGCCTGATCTGCTGCTCTGCTTTCTGTTTCCTGCCCCATCTGCTGCTGTTTCCTGCCCTGTCTGCTTGTCTTCTCCCTGGTCCGCCACGTGCCCCAGGTTGGACACCCCTGCACTACACGTTTGTTAACCCACCCTCCCATTT